ACTTTCCTCCATCCACGACCATCTTAGGTTCCTCTAACAAATATACTGCTATCTACTTTCCTCCATCCACGACCATCTTAGGTTCCTCTAACAACCATACTGCTATCTACTTTCCTCCATCCACGACCATCTTAGGTTCCTCTAACAACCATACTGCTATCTACTTTCCTCCATCCACGACCATCTTAGGTTCCTCTAACAACCATACTGCTATCTACTTTCCTCCATCCTTGGCCATCTTAGGTTCCTCTAACAACCATACTGCTATCTACTTTCCTCCATCCTTGGCCATCTTAGGTTCCTCTAACAACTATACTGCTATCTACTTTCCTCCATCCTTGGCCATCCTTGTTCCAGAGAATTGAAGTCTGAACACAATACGTTATCTTTACTTTACTCACCACAGGAATCAAATCTAGAATTTTATCATTAAAAACTTCCGAGCTAATTGTTGGACTACCGGAGAACAACTATACAAGTTTATCTAATTATTGATGTTGAATTTCATTTCACAAATGCCTGACCATCAAAGCTTATCGCTATTAGTCGGAATTATTTTTTTTTGTAATATATATTTAGAGGGGGGGGGATACTAACGCTGTGAGTCTGCCTGGTGTATCATGTGAAATAATGACATATGATGACTTGAAAGTATTATCAACAAAAACATCATGCAAGAATTACTGTTACTATTATTATATACGAAAATTGTGAGCTAGTAGTTACTATTTGTAAGGAACCTCGAGGATGCAACCACAAAGAAGACACAGACGCTTACTTTAGAAATCCAGCTGATGATTCACTCTGTTTGCTTACGCTCGCTGCTACTCTCTGCCCCAGAGAGAACACACCGTTTCTATGCAAACATTGAGCGCGTGTTCCAGTGACAGCGTGTTCACCCGGGCCTATGTTGTCAGTCCTTTTGTTTCGCATACAGCGACATAAAAACGAACCGGGATGTAGTTTTATATGAAACTGCAGGGAAAGACCTGAAAAGCAAATGAAGCGGACAAAAGAAACCGGTTTCCAATATGACGAACAAATTTCGTTGTTACTGCACCCATAAGAGGCACGAAAAAGATTTCCAGGGTGAAACCGTTTTTACTATTGTATATTAGCATAGCCACTCGGACGTAAGAAACCGGTTAAGCATGAAAAACTTTTTGTTGTTGTCACGCTTTATTAAAGCAGCCAGTAAGATGCAAGAAACCGGCTTCTAACATGAAACCCTTTTTTGTCATTTTATATTAATATCACCGTTAAGATGGAAGAAATAGGTTTCAAGCATCATAAAATATTTTACTACTTCTACTTACAGCCTCAAAATGTAAGAAGCAAATAACACGGTTTCTAGACTAACTAGAAGCTAATAACATGGTTTCTAGACTAATTAGAAGCTAATAACACGGTTTCTAGACTAACTAGAAGCTAATAACACGGTTTCTAGACTAATTAGAAGCTAATAACATGGTTTCTAGACTAACTATAAGCAAATAACACGGTTTCTAGACTAACTAGAAAAACCGTGTTATTAGCCTAGACTAACTAGTCCAGGAGGGAAGTTCTAAAAACAACAAAAGACAAAGAGCTAATCTTTCAAGATGATTTCAACAGCTTTGAATTAAAGAAAAGATCCCTGTGTATAGAGAAACCTTCCTGAACATTTCTACGTACGTTGTAAAGTCAAGTATCAGTTTCTTTGTGTGTGTTTTTTCAGGGTACCATGATCAGATGTGTTGACGTGAAATCAGAATCGCCACCAATTCTTCTGTCAACCATAAAATCATAACTGGGCATCTTATGCATTTCAAATCTTCAACACTAAATCTTATAATTTGGGAGAATCGGAAAGCTATATAATCAACCAATCAGAAGCTGTAAAAATAAAAATATTGTGTGCAAGGCATATTTTCACCTCGCTACTTTATTGGCAAACGTAAAGCATCTTTCAAAACGTAGGCACATTGTGATTGACAATATTTTAAACCAATTCTTAGCTATCTTGTGTAGTAGAAATCAAAACAACAAGGTCTTAATTTAATTTCCCTTTACTCATTTTATTAAGCAGTATCAACAATTTGTATACATTGTCAGTATAAAGAAGAGGGTCGTATTTCCAAGTAAAACCAACCAAGTATCTGATTAACAACACATATTATAAACCTTTACTATTCAATATACCCAGAGACATATTATACACCTTTACTATTCAATATAACCAGAGACATATTATAAACCTTTACTATTCAATATAACCAGAGACATATTATAAACCTTTACTATTCAATATAACCAGAGACATATTATAAACCTTTACTATTCAATATAGCCAGAGACATATTATAAACCTTTACTATTCAATATAACCAGAGACATATTAT